CTGTTCTTCCCCCTCGCCTGGGGTGTTTGGTTATGTGTTGATCATCTCAATCTGTTCCCCCTCTCCTCTCCCCACCTTCTGCCTACCTTCCTGGTATCAATACTCCCATTCCTGTTCCTGGATTCTGTGTGTCATGAGCTCTTATCTCTACCTGTGTACATGCTCCGGCATAGCCTTCAGTTAAAGCCAGGAACTGGGGTCGTGATAGTGGGGTGGGGTGGGGTGAGGAAGCCTCAAAGAACCAGAGGAATATTGTGTGTTTCATCGGTGCTATACTGTACCCTGGTGACTCATCTCTTCCTGGTGACCATTCTGTGAGGGGATATCCCGTTGTTCACAGATGGATTTTGTATCTCTGCTCTGACTTCCCTTTGTTCTCAACAATATGGTTTTTTCTTTGTTTGTTTGTTTGTTTTGGGCCTTCTGGTGCCTGTTACCCGATCCCGTAGACACCTCATGATCACACAGGCTGCTGGTGTGCTTCTTCCATGTGGGCTTGTTTCTTCTTTGCTAGATGGCCACTTGTTTAACTTCAGGCCTTTAAGACCCCAGACAGTATATCTTTTGATAGCCAGGCACCATCAGCTTTCTTCACCACATTTGCTTTTGCATCCATTTTGTCTTCAGCGATTGTGCAGGAAGGGTGAGCATCACTGAATGCCAGTTTGTGAGAACAAAGTGTTCTTGCATTTAGGCAGGGCTTGAGCAGAGACCCAAAGTCTGTCCACTACCTCAGTATATTGCCATATAAATATATGTACATAGTCCAATACTCCTATTTTTAATGAATTAATGTATTTATATTTGTTCACACCTATGTTTATATCTCTGTTTATAGCTTTGCTTCCTAGATCTTTCCTTTGTTTCTTTTTCCTTCCTCCAGTCCCACCATCATGCTCGTCCTTCTTCTGCCTCTTAGTACTTACTCTCAGCTAGATTGCTGTTGCTTCAGGATCTCTAAGTCCTCCTCATTTTACTTCCCTAGTTGTTCTCCTGTCTATGGCGGTGTTTGCTCACCACTCCCTTCCCCCACCGCCTCCTGCCCCAAATCCTCCTCCCCCAAATCCTTCTGGAACCATAGGTCCTGTTGCTTCCTCCTTGAGCTTGCCTCCCATGCCTCTCTTAATTTTCTGGTCTAACAGCAGGAGCACTGGGCGGGCGATTCTACCTGGACACCCTCTTGCTCTACTGAATACATATTGTAACATTTGTTAACACTTCATGTTCCCTACTGGCTGACTAGTATCCCATTGTATGCATGTATTACATTTTGTTTATCCATTCATCTGGCGATGGACATTTAGGTTGTTTTCACCTTTTGGCTATAGTAAATAGTAATGTAAAGAACATAGGTGTACAGGTCTCTGTTTGAACCTCTGCTTTCAAGTCTTTTGGGAATATATCTAGGAGTGGGATTGCTGGGACATGTAGTTATAAGGAGCCCTGGTGGCATGTTGGGTAAATGCTGAACTGCTAACCTCCGTCACTCTTTGAGAGAAACATGACATTCTCTGCTCCTGCCAATATTTACAAACTCTCAGAAACCCTATGAGTTGGAAATGACCTGATGGCAGTAGGTTTGGGTGTGAGTGTGGGCATGAGCATGGGTATGGGTGTGGGTAAGGGTATGTGTGTGTGTGGGCATGGGCAGGGGTGTGGGTGTGGGTATGGGTTTGGGTATGGGTGTGGGTGTGAGCATGGGAATGGGTATGGGTGTGACCGGGCTAGTTTTAGTTTGTGGAAGAACTATCACATTGTTTTCCACGATGACTGTACCATTTTATATTCCCACCAGCAGTGGGTAAGGGTTCCATTTTTTCCACATTCTTCTCAATATTTGTTATTTTCTGTTAAAAACATTTATATATATATATATGTGTGTGTGTGTGTGTATATATATATATATTTTTTTTTAACTGTAATGTGTTGTTTCTAGGTGCTGTTGAATCCGTTCCAATTTATAGCCAACTATATAGAGAAGGAACAAAATGCTGCCCAGTACTGTGCCATCCTAAACATTGTTATATTTGAACACATTGTTGCAATATGTGGTAGCTATAAGGTGCCGTCAGGGCCAACATGTTGGGTAAACATCTACCTTTTTTTTGATGACTCTCTACCAAGCATGATGTCCTTCTCCGGGGACTGGTCCCTCCTGAGAATATGTATGTGAAACAGAGTGTTGCCATCTTTGCTTCTAAGGAGTATTCTGGCCGTACTTATTCCATGATAGTTTTATTTGTTCTTCTAGGGTTACATTGTACTTTCAGTATTCTTTGCCAGCACCGTAATTCATCTGCATCAGTTCTCCTCTGGTCATTTTATTCATTGTCCAGCTTGTGCATGCATCTGAGGTCATCACAGATGCAAGGACTTGCTTTACCTCAGTCTTCACAGTGACACCCTGGCCTTCAGTACTCTGAAGAGGCCTTGTGTAGCATATTTGCCCAATGCCATATGCGATTTGATTTCTTGACTGTTGCTTCCAAGAGCATTGATGGTTGAGGCAAGGAAAATGAAATCCTTGACAACTCCATTATTTTCTCTATTACGATGTTGATCATTGGTCTCTGTGGATTTTTGCTTCCTTCACAGAATTGTAATCCATACGGAAGATTGTAGTCTATTTTTTTATTTTGTTTTGTTTTTTAATCATTTTATTGGGGGCTCTTACCACTCTTATCACAATGCATACATACATCAAGTGTGTAAAGCACATTTGTACATTCATTGCCCTCATCATTCTCAAAACATTT